ACTTAAAATTCAAATTTAACATCTTTAATATAAAATTTTAAAATTTTGATTATTAAAATATTATTTTAAATATATAAATTTACATTCCTACTTAATATTATATACATATCATTCCCATTAAGAAAATGGGTGGTTGAATGGCATGGACCTTCTCATGCCTTCAATGATTAATGCCGCTGGAAACAGATGATCAGTAGAGAAAAGAAACCTTTCTTTTCTTCTCTCTCACTTTTTGCTAGTCCACAAAGAGACTGACCATTCACCCTACTTTCATCATGATGCCAAACGGTACATTTTCCTTTTCTCTCACTCATCACCATCATCACCATCCAAGTCATACTCATGCATCATAACACCATGGATCATAGAACAGAGCAACCACTGAAGGTTTGAAACAGAGACTGCATACAACTCAGTCTAAATCTATAACAAACAAATGGTTCAATATTATTCACCGAAGTTAGAAACAGAACAGAATCAGAGAAACATGAGCCACTGCAAATAAAATAGGCAAGTCAATATGTACTCTATTTGAAACCAACATATTGTATTTCCCAATTACAACCAAAGTAAGGTATATTAAAGAGGAGAAAGAAACCTAGTGAACCATGGCAACTGGATTGGAATAGTTAATGCTTCGCTGGTTGGGCATGGCGAGCATAGCAGTGTGATCTAAGAAATCCTTAAGATTGACCACAGACTGCAGAATCGTCCGGAGATCATCAGCACATGAGAAACCCATGTTTCCGACTCGCCTGACGGCATAAACGTAGAAAGTGATGCATCCCTTCCTGAACTTGAACCGAGCCATCTCGCACCCACTTAACCCCCTAATGAGCTTCTTGTTCACCTCCCCTAGAGGAATCTCGGCCGGCCATATTCTGTCCACGGCCTGCTTCATCGTCTCAGATTCAAAAACAAAGATGAGCACTTTCGATTTTTTTGTACCAAGACCAAGAGTCAGAGTATGCCAAGCGTGGTGCGCCAGGATGGTGAAGTTCGTTGGAAGAAAAGCCGTGGTCGAAGGGAACGGGAGCTTATTGCTGTTCGATCTATTATTCATCGGCGGAAAAGACAGCAGCTTTAGAAGCTCGAGAGGTCGTGCGCGGCGGATTGTGAATGATTTTACGATGAACTGGCCACCGAACCTGAGACCCTTTACCTCGGAGCTGGGCTTGAAAGAAAAATCTGATGTTGCTTTGGCGGTCTGGTCGTTGGGGTGTAGATACTTCTGCTTCTTGTTTTTGTTGTTCTTCTCTTTCTCTGCCATTTGGAGGTTGAGCAGTTAGGCTCTCCCTTTGCTTGATAAAAAACCAAGCTGAAGCTTTTGGTGGAATGATGAGTGTTCATTTCTTTTATTCTCTTTCACCGGCTAGGCATATACTTGGCGCAATCAATACCCAAGAAACAAGTTAGCTGGCGTAATTTATTCTGCTTTGGGTCAAATTTATTTCTAAACCAACTTAATAGTTTTCGTTTCATGTCACTGTCTGGTAAATTTTTTTAAAAAATTAAATTTTATTGGATTATAATATTTCTATTTGAAATTTAAAAATATAACACTAAATGGTTCGGTGATTACTTTTCCTTTCAATAGATATTAAAATAGTAGTACCTTATATTTTATACCCAATCCTTCTTTCATCCTTAAAATTTTCCTTGCTCAAAAAAAAAAAAGAAGTTGAAATTTATAGTGATTAATTAAAAAATATTTATTTTAATGACACAATAAAAAACAAATATCTTTCGTTTTTTATTTCACTTTCCCACATGAGTAATTAATTAAATTTTAAGTAACCATAATTGTCAAAAAGTTGCTCTATAAACAGAACAAGAGTCATTGTAGATGGAAAAACCAGGTAAGGTCCCCCATGATTTTCAACTCACGTTACTCATCGTGCCGCTTTCTCTCGAACATTTTTAATATTTTCACAAATGAAAGGAAAAATTAAAATTTATAACAAGAAAAAAAAAAAGACAATAAAAATTAAACCATAAGCCATATTCAGGATTAACCTAAATTAAACAACATGTTGTAATCTCAATTAAAGAATAAAAAAACAGCAACTTATACATGCAGTAGTACTAGTTCATCAAAATAGTAAAGGCGGTGAGCTGAGAACATCAGCCTTCTCGTGAAGAATAGTAAATATGGGCATTAATTTGTCAAGCTGACGGGAAACGAGACCTCTGCAATCCCATCCAATCTTCTAATTATTTACAGAAAATGGCAGTTGCCATAGCCTGAACATAATAAATAAAAACAGTATTAACAAATATTGTTTTCTTAAAAGAAAAAGGGATTATCATCATAACCGGGCAATTTGTAGTTACATAAAATTAGTTAGATGAAAGATTTAGATATTATGTAAAAAAAAAAATTCTGCAATGTTGAATTTTGACTTACTTGGATCAACGGTGGTGAGTTGACCGGTCCCACCAAAGTTACACTCGTTGAAAGTCTGACCTTTGGTTCTGTAGTAAGAATTCATGGCAAACGAGGCATGAGCCCTAAGATTATTGGGCTCAAAGCAGGCACCACCAAGATTGATTGGCAAGCAATCCACCCCGTTCCCACATGCATAATCTAAGTTTGACTGCAACTGTCCGTCACTGACTCCCAGCTTCGGTACACAAAACTGCTTCCCCGTCGGAACTGCTGGTGTTGGCGCCGGCTAAATCACACAAAAAATGAAAGGGAGAAAAGAAATCAACGCAAAAACAAAAATTGAAATACAAAACTATTCTTAAAAGAAACTACTTACCTGGGATCCATTCCGCATGACGCTGGCGTTGTAGACGGGAGCGAAATTAGGCCAAAACAATCCCCAGTTCTTCTCTGCAACTGGACCTGGTTTTAGATTCTCGTTAAACAGAGCAAAGATGTACGTCTCAAACCGGCGGTTTGGCATCAGAGGTGTCCCCTTTCCGGCAAGAATCTCCCGGATCATATTCCCGTTGTAGGAGATGGCATTGTCCATAGTAGCGAAGGGGTCATTGGCGTCCCCTTGTGAGGGCCAACCCGCCTCGCCGATGACGATGTCAACGTCGCCGTACCCGAAAGCGTTCATGGCGGAATAAGTGGAGTCCAAGAGCTGATCAAGCATGTTCGTGTACAACTTTCCGCTGTGTTTGTCGATGACGCCGCGGTGTAGCTTGTAAAGAGCGAAGCTTAGCGATTTCTGTTTGACTTCGAAGTAGGGATAAGGGTTGATCATGAAGGGCGTTTTGGTTTCCCGGTGGAACTGCAGTAACGGCAAGAAGAAGGTCTGGGCATGGTCGGCCCTGAACCGGGCTAAACTCGGAATTACGCGGCTTTGGAATATGTTGAGGGCATGGGCTGTTGTAACCTGACCATTACAGGAAAGAAGTTTCAAGATCTACACTTTACAGCCTCCACGCAAAGAATTTTTCAATGTCTTTTACAAAAGGGTAAAATAGAAATGTATGCCCCCACACGTTTAGAATAATATTGAAAGTGATCCTAACTTCAATTTCCTTTCGATTGTGTACCAAACGTCCCAATTTCCATTCAACCATACATTTCCCTCCATTACTCAATTATTCAAATGACATGAGGATAGCTGAAACCATCTAAAGGTTCAAAAAATTTTAGTTTGCAATTTAAAACTAGCATTAACTGCAAGCAACGTTAACAACATTAATTGCAGCAACATTAGCAGCTTTAATTGCGGCAACATTAGCAGCTTTAATTACGGCAACATTAACACTCATGATTAGGATTTCTAGCAAACTAAGACTATTTTCTTTGGTGATGCTTTAGTTATACATCTATTTCTCTTTTACTATATTTTTAAAACTATATAAGATATTAATAATTAAAATAATAAGAATATAAAATAATAAAATTTTTTGCATCGAGCCCTTCGAGTCAAGTGGCAATAGCCACCATGGTGCATTCTCCCCTCCCCAGGACTAGGATTCGAACCCAACCCCTTGTAAAATCCGTTCAAAAAAATAATAATAAAATTTTTTAACTTATATATCACATAAGTTTAAGTGCATTTATTGTATATTTTTTACATTAATTTATATAAAAATATATACAAATTGATATTAATTTTAATATTATAGTTAATTAAATAAATTTAATTAAATAATTATTAAAATTAGCATTAATTTTTATTTTTTATGTTAATAATTAACAAAGAAATTATACAATAAGTACACACATAAGTTGAAAAAACCTAGAAAAAATTAATTAAGATTATAAATTTACAGGTGTTGTGCGACTTAAGTACTGAATGCAAACAGACAAACTTCTCTTCTACCTAGGGACATCGATGTTTGTGTTAGTACCACAGTGCAATTGCCATGGTCCACATAGACAACCTTGTCTTCCTAGCTGTTAAGCAATCATGAAATTTTATATTTCGAAATGATCAAAATAACGACAAGTCATGCTGATTCGATTCTCGTGAGATTTGGGGCAGCACTATACCTTTTTGGGCCAGTTGGAAAGTATATATACCAGTACCACCATGACAAGGAGTTAAGGATCTTATTGGGTACAATTGGGAAGGAAATAAAAGTTAGTGGCTCTTTCAAAACATGACCTAATTAAAAGGTTTGGGCCTAAGAAATTGTAAATAAATTCTAGAAAAAACAAAAAATCTAAATCTAAAGCATTAATTCATCTTACCTTTATCTTCTGAAATCCATCTCTGACCAAAGCATTGTTGAGACTCCTCATTGCAGGGATGAGATTGTTAATCAAATCCTGATTGTTAGAGAATAAAACTTCGTTCCCAACACAAATGTATTTGATATTTGTTTGGGGGTAAAACGGCTTTATGTTGCTAGCAACCCACCTGCGGGCACTGAGGGTGTCAGCAAGAGCAGGAATATCCCCGTTGGCGATGGTGACCGTGACGGAGATGCCGGTGTTGGCGAAAGCTCGAAGGAAATCCGGGTTGGTGTCGAAGAGCTTCACGCTGTCGAAAATGGTTTGGGTTTTGATGAAGTTGGCAACCTGAGCAGGGGATGGGAGGTTATCGGCCATCGCCCCATAGTTGACACCGAGCGCAGCCGTGGAGGTGAAGAGGTGGAGGACGGTGGTGAAGAGGAGGAGGAGGTTCTGGAGATGCATCGTGGGATAGGGTTGTGGGTTTCTTTGTAAAAGAGATAAATAAACTTGGACAACCTTATGTGGTGGTGGTGGGGTCTGATGTGGCGCACCAAGAAAAGCGAAAATACATGGGATTCAATTCAATATTTTAGCGTATGGAATCGGAAACCAAATAAAGAAGGAATAAATAAAGCCGGTGCTTTTTGAAATTCTGACCGTGTCGGGGAAATTAATTGAACGCGGGGGGAGTTCGTTCGTCTTTATCTTTATCTTTTTCTCTTTTGGAATTTTAATAAGGTAAATATTTATTTTTATATAAATTTTATATATTATATTGATATAAAATTTTAATTATTTATTATTTATTTTAAACAATTAAAATTTATCATAATTTTTTTAAATAAAATAATTATTTTTAATAAATATAAATAAATTTTATTATTAAAAATAAAAATTTAAATTTTATATAAATATAATATACAAAATTTTGTATGTGAGTAAATTTTTATTTTTCCGACAAATCAATATTAAAATTTATAGTACCTACAACTTATTGTTTTAAGTGGAAATAATTTAATTTTGTTAAAATAAAATTTTAAATTCAGATCTTATAAATAAAAAAATAAAAACTATAAAAATTTTTTTTTTATATGAATCTAACGCATTTTAACTTTAAATTAATCCTAACTCAGTATATTTTTTATGTATCAAAAATTAGAAAAATATATTAATACTTTCACCAGCGGAGCGTGACTTAGTGGTGTAGAAAGATAATGCTTGATACGTGTGGCTGATTATAAGTAAGCTAGCTTTTTTTTTTTTTGAACATATTTGCAAGGGGCGGGTTTCGAACCCAGCCCAGGAATGGGAGAATGCACCGGAGTGGCTATTGCCACTAAGCCTCAAAGGCCAGATACAAGTAAGTTAGCTTTTAACCTTGTTATGAATGGAATAAGTCATATTTGATAATGTTAATGCGGTGTTTTGTAGTTTGGAATGAAATTATTTTTGTAATAATATAAATAAACAAAAAAAATTAAATATTTATATGTATGTGCGTGTAAATCCTTGTGGAATAATATAAGAATCAAAAAAAGTTTTTATTTACCAAGTTTCTTAATTACAAAAGGATTTTTTTTTCTGCATTTTAGTCCCATATCAGCTCGGCGGTGCGCTGAACCTTAGAGGAAAAAATGAAAGGTTAAATGATAATTTTGATCTCTTAATTTTAAAATTTTACATAATTTTTATTTTTAAACTTTTTTATGTACTTTTTGATCTCTTTATTATAAAAAATATATTTTTTTAATTTTTTTCATTAGTTAATCCATCAAATATATTTGAATATGCACATTTTAAATTTTTAAACTTATAATATATACATATTTTTTTCCCTCAACTTAAAATTAAGGGATTAAAAATGTATAAATTTAAATAAATTTAATGGATTAACTGATGGTATGATTAAAAAAAAATATTTTTCATAGTTAATAGATCAAAAAAAGCACATAAGAAAATTGAGAGATAAAAATTTTATAAAATTTTAAAGTTGAGGGACCAAAATTAGCATTTAACCAAAATGAAAAGAAAAGTATAAAAAAAAAAAAAAAAAAAAAAGGGACGGTGGTGGGCTGGTGCATTCGGGCTAATTCTAGGACCAACGGAAGTTTGGAACCACTTGGGATTTTGAAAATCCAAGATTTTATCGGCCCAAATCTTGTCCAAGGATCGATTGGCGGCCCAAGGTACGTTACGTTGGGTAAAGAGGTCAAAACCTTCTTAGTTAAATGAGATTCATGTTACAAGGCAACCAAGCAATTTCATTTTTAGCACACCTTATTTATATAATTTTTACGCACATAGCCATATGGGTTATTATTATTTTTTACTAAATTATATGATATATGAGAATTACATTAAACATCAATTAATTCAAAATTAAATTAAGTTGAATTTCATAAAAATAATTTTCTTTTATTGTTTGTCTCTTCATTTATAAAATTTTAATTCAAAACGTTGGTTAAAGAAAACTAAATTCTTTTTGTTTAGGAAGTTGTGAATGGTAAATGGGGTTAATGTTTTTTCAATTTAGACGGTAAAGAAATTGCAGCTCAACTCTCAAGATGAAAAAACACTTTTGCCCCTACTAATTCACTGCCTACGAATGATTCATTAAAGGTGAAAATGTCATTTTATGGCCAGACTGACAACCTCTTATCCATCCTACCGGAAAACGCTAGATTTAAGAGGTGGAGAA